TGACTGCGACAGAGAGTACAAATGTGCTAACTGTAATGGTGCTCATCCTGCGTCATCGAAAGCTTGCCCTGTGTTCCAGCGTGAATCGCAGATTATGAAACTTAAATGTGAAAAAAACGTTTCATACCTGGATGCAAAAAAACTGCTCAATCAAACCTCTACTCCATCAAACAGTACCTACGCTGCGGCAGTTACTCGCTCTGTGGCAGTGTCCTCTACTGCGTGTCAGACTGAATTGACTTGGGTCAAGTCAGAGAAACCTCTTTCGTCAGCTTCAACTATTAAACCTACTGTCACAGTTACTCAATCTACGTCTGGTTCTCAGACTGATGAAACTCAATCCGAGACATCACGGCAAACGTCTGTTTTGCAACCAGCCGTGAATAAAATTAAAAAGAAGAAAGGAAAAGGGATTACTAGGGATAAACTACCCGTTGTTCCTTCACCTCCAGAGGTACCTCTTGAAAACTCATTTGGACCTTTAGATATAGAGGTTACTCCGTCCTCACAGGTCAGGCGGAGGAGCTTATCCCCCTCGCATTCACGAGAGAGATCACCAATTGAGGCGCCATGACTCAATTGTCTACTTTAATGCAATGGAATTGCAGAGGACTAAGAAATAACTTCAATGAGATACAATTACTGATACAAGATATTCAGCCGTCAGCACTCTGTCTCCAAGAGACATATTTAAAACCTACAGATAACTTTACTTTGAGACAATACAGCGATTATACATTCCTTTTCTCCTCCGGGAGATAAAGCAACTGGAGGTGCTTCTATCTTAGTACGGCAGGGTATAATACATAGCGACTGTTCGACTGACCCTGCACGTTGCTTTGACTCTGTGCAGCTTATATATCCCTCCATCTTCTGATGTCCGTCTGTCGGATCTTCAGAATCTGTATGATCAGCTTCCAAAGCCATGTATCATCATGGGCGATCTGAATGGACACAATCCGCTTTGGGGAAGTGTCCATACCAACAATAAAGGTAAAATCCTCGAGGAATTTATATCAGATAATAATCTCTGTATTTTCAGTGATGATTCAGCCACTTATTTACATCCAGCTACGGGAACATATTTTTCCCTGGATCTGTCACTCACCGATTCAACCTTATATAATGAATTTGAATGGATGGTTCATGATGACCTGTGTGGGAGTGATCCCTACCCTACCATTCTTAAAACAATCAACCCTGGTGATGATCCACCTTTATCGAGAAGGAACTTTGCCAGGGCTGATTGGTCATTATATAAGACACTATGTGATGATCACTTAAAACATGATGTTTTTGCGAACAGCGAAGATCCTATACAGCTGTTTTCCGATATACTCAATGACATTGCTGACCACACTATCCCCAAGTCCTCTGCAATTCCACATATTCGTAAACCATGGTTTACTAATGAGTGTAAACAGGCCAGAAAAAGAAGGAAGAAAGCTGAAAAGTTTTTTCGCAAACATCCTACAGTCAATAATTTAGACAAAGTTAAAATTTTAAATGCCAAGGCTCGACGCGCATTTAAACAGAATAAGCGTCAGTCTTGGAGGAACTATCTTTCCAAAATAAATTCACGTACACCTATGTCCAAGGTGTGGAACATGGTCCAAAGAATAAAGGGCAAAGGTTCTAAATCTACTGTACACCATCTGAAGGATGGTGATAATCTCTTAACTCATATATAAAACTGATATAGCAAATAAACTTGGCGAAACGCTTGCCAAACATTCTTCATCATCAAATTATGTCCCTGAGTTTCAAAAACACCAGAAACAACAGGAGACGAAAAGAATAAATTTTAACTCAGACAATGGTGAAGATTATAATGAATTATTTTCACGCCATGAGCTACATACCGCTCTTGAGCAAGCTCATGCTACAGCAACAGGGGCTGATGATATCCACTATCAGCTCCTAAAGCATTTGCCCGAATCGTGTTTGGAAACACTGCTAAATATATTTGATATGATATGGACTACAGGGAATTTCCCAACTTCCTGGCCAAATGCCATTGTAGTCCCCATTCCAAAACCTGGCCGGGATCATACTGATCCGTCTAATTACAGACCAATCTCTTTAACGAGTTGTGTCTGTAAAACCATGGAACGAATGGTAAACAATCGATTAACATGGTATCTTGAAACCAATAACCTTATCACCAATATCCAATGTGGTTTCAAGAAAAATCGTAGTACCATTGATCATTTGGTACGTTTAGAGTCCTTTGTCAAAAATGCTATAGTAAATAAACAACATGCAGTATCGATATTCTTTGATCTCGAGAAAGCATACGATACCACCTGGAAGCATGGCATTTTGAAGGATTGACATGATTTTGGTTTGAGGGGCCATTTGCCTCTTTTTATATCACAGTTTTTAAAAGACAGGCAATTTCAAGTCCGAATGGGTTCAACCCTGACTGATCATTACAATCAGGATCAAGGTGTCTCTCAAGGCAGTATTTTGTCCGTCACTTTATTTAGTATCAAGATTAACAGTTTATCCAAGGTTTTAAACGATTCAATCGACGGATCACTTTTTGTGGATGATTTTAATATTTCTTGTTGTGGTAAAAATACGCATACTATTGAACGGCAATTGCAGTTGTGTTTAAATAAAATAAATAAATGGTGTCTTGAAAACGGCTTTAAATTTTCCAATTCCAAAACTAATTGTCTACACTTTTGTAGAAAAAATAAGCCGCATAAAGACCCAGAACTATCTTTAAATGGCATTCCCATCAAAGTTGTAAAGGAGGCCAAGTTCTTTGGTCTAATTTTCGACTCCCATTTAACTTTTTGCCGCATATCAAATCCCTTAAAGCTAAATGCATGAAGGCCCTTGATGTGTTGAAAGTTGTTTCCAACTCAAAGTGGGGAGGGGATCAAGCTACCCTCCTCCACCTATACCGATCATTGGTCCGCTCGAAACTTGATTATGGCTCCATCGTATATGGTGGAGCCTGCAAAAGCAACTTAAAACTTTTAGATTCTGTCCACCACCAAGGTCTGAGACTTTGTCTTGGGTCATTCAGAACATCTCCCGTTGACTGTCTCTATGTTGAGGCAGATGAGCCTTCTCTTACCCAAAGCCGTATAAAATTATCATTACAATATATTACCAAACTATCTTCTAACGAGTCTAATCCTGCTTTTAATTGTGTCTTTAATCCTCTCTATGAGGATTTGTACAACAACAAGTCTTCTCTTGTTCCGCCTCTTGGGCTAAGAATTCAACCCTTCTTTTCTGCTGCCGGCATTGAGCTGGACAATATAGCTCCTTCCCGTCTTCTTTCTTCTCCTCCAGGCAATTAGTGAGACCACAAGTTGACCTCACCCTGACAAAGTTTAAGAAAGCAGAAACTAATGAATTAGAATATAAACAAGAATATAATCAATTAAAAATTAAATATAATACATAAAAATCCTTATTTACAGATGGGTCCAAGGATGGTGGCGCGGTGGCATGTGCCACTGTCATTGGATCCCGAACCATATCTTCTCGACTACCAAATAACAGCTCTATTTTCACAGCAGAAGCTAACGCCATATTAACAGTTCTTCAATATATTAATAAACACCGTAAATATAAACAATACATAATATTTTCCGATTCTCTTTCGTGTCTTCAGGCTAATAAAAATCTGTCTTGTAAACATCCACTTTTATTAGAAATTATTGAATTGTATAATGAGCTTGCTACTGGCCAATGCGACATCGTCTTTTGTTGGTTACCCAGCCACGTTGGCATTTCTGGGAACACAATGGCCGATCTTGCTGCTAAGGCAGCACTCAACAAATCTGTTACACCACTTCTTATCCCATACTCTGATTACAAAGCTGCTATTAGATCTTATATCCGTGATCTGATGCAACAGAAGTGGGACAGCCAAGTAGGTATCAATAAATTACATCCAATAAAACCAACTATCAGTTACACCTCCTTAGGTTGTCAGTCCAGATTTGAAGAGGTCATCATACGACGATGTCGTATTGGCCACACAAGATATACTCATGCATGCCTATTGAAAGGTGAGGATCCTCCGTTTTGTATCCCTTGTGATGAGAGAACCACGGTCAAGCATGTCCTGCTTGACTGTGTTGAATTCTCCCTCATAAGGGATAGATATTTTAATGTCAAAAAAGTAAAGGACCTTTTTAGTAATGTTAATTATCATTTAATCATTGATTTTTTTAAAGAGATAGACCTGTTAAATGAATTTTGATATATGTTTTGTAAATAGATAAGGTTTTAATATAGTTTAGATTATCAACTTCGATTGTTAGTGGCTGTACCCTCAAAGGGGGTTGAAGTATTGTAAAATTATTGTCCTCCTGAGAGGGTACGTAAGTCCCAACATATTTAGAGTAAATTTAGGCTTGCCACGTTTTTAATCGTAGATAATGTGTGCTTTTAATTTATGGTTAGATTTCTCTTCTGTCGCCAATGGCTGAAGGGATGGTGTAAATCCATCTAGGGTCCATGCAGGTAGCAAAAGTAATGTAAGTCCCCATGGTCCCTGGTATGGTGATCTACCTTCAGTTATTGGCGATTTATAGTCCATTTTTATACTGTATTGTTTTTCCCCTATAGTTAAAACGTTTTAGATTTAATTACTAGTTTTACATACATATCTGTGATATTCTAGTTGTTTTACTGTCCTTCGTCGGCAGGTTTTTTATAATATACATATATTTTATTTCAATATCAAATGTTCTCGTCACGATATGGCTGAAATATTGCCGATGTGACGTTAAATATTAACTCACTCACTCACTCTAAATATATTAGAATGTGGATGAGGTGGTCGCAGTTGATCCAAGATTTGCCGTGCTATTACCCTTGATCATCAGTTTGGGCCTTCTTCCAACACTGTGATATAAATACTGTTCAAAGCGGCATTAAACCCCACCTACGAGAACATAGGCGATATGATTTCTGAATTCTGTGAAGTTCCCCATTTCCAATATTCCCCACATCGGTATAATGCACAGTTTTGGTGTCCCCCCGTCATAACATCGCTGATATACAACAAATAGAGACGTGTCACCATTCTAGCGCCCTCATGTTATCGAGAGTGTCCCCTGGATACATACCGGAATACATTACCGTTTTCCTTTCCTTTTCTGTTTGCATATAATAGCAATTATAGTAATGAACAACTGATTAAAAGCATGTATTTCTCGCATAGAAGCCGTTTCGTTTTGTCGCTGTGGTGATTGATTTTCACAGCCGCCCTCCTTCAACCACACACGGAGACACAAAAATAACGAATGTGCCTACACTAGCCAGGGGAAATCACATCTACACCCCCAGGCTCTCTTGTTATATCAGGCGTACGGTTCTGTCTGAAGGTGTCTTCAAAATAGAAACATGAGAGTTAACAACTGAACAGTGCTGTTTGATTCGATAAGACGTAGAGACATTGATGAAACAGATCTTTGGAAATTGAGGTTGCAATTGACATTTCAATCCACTCAACACACAATCAGAAATACCCACTGGTCTTAAGTTCAAAACCATAATTGCTGGAAGCTGATTTGTGTTTGAAACATACGAATAATAATAACCAATTTATAATGCACATTTCAATAACTCAATATTATGTTCTAACATAACATTATTACCTCGGTCAACCCAAGCTGCCTGTGTGGTTTTAGAAGGTGAACAGTCATATGACATCTTATCCCATCTGGTACCCATTCACTGCTGGATGAAGAGAGGCAATTTTGAACAGACGCGTTTGCCTAAGGGGAGACCACATGTGTCACATATGCTTCGTCTGTTTGGCACTACTGAAGTCCTCTCACAAGTCAAACTCATACAAAGACCCTCCGTGACCAGCTTTGCGTAACTTTAACTGATTTGTGACGTGGGCCCTATGCATAGGACCACACACAACCACATAATATGCTCCAGTTAGTGGTTTATACATCAGTGATACATTTAAAGATTGTTCATAATTGATGATATTCCTATGAAAACGTTTTGATATTTGCAATAGTCTTGTCCATCTTTGACTCAGTGACACCAGTTCAACGCTGCTCTGTATGGTATTTAAATCACGGCATGCCAGCTACATGTTCTTTAAACGGAAAATTCAAACTTAGTGACCAAGGATCATTATAGGGATCGAACCAGGACCCATCCATATTCTCATGCAATGAAGACTGGTAATACGTGCACAATAAATGCTCTATCCTTCCAAAATGTGATGAAAACTGACTTGAAGAATGCAGCTTCATACTTCTCCAAGCCATATGGTCAACAACTGCAGTGTCTTTATACGTGAACTTCCAATGCAATCTCCTGAAATAAGACTTCGTTCTAGGAAGAAGTAATATTGATCGTACCAAGCGACTAAATGGATCGGTTTGTCACGCACGATGCATGAGCAACAATCCCATCATCTGATCACTCGATCATCTGGTCTTGATTAAACTCTCCCCCCTCCGTACCAACACACCATTTAGATTTGTTCAGGTTTGATTTGACAAACTCAAAGGTGCCGTTGGAATACCATAAAGGAGGTTTTATCCAAGCTGTCCTTCAAAATCCATATTTTAGAAAGGCACGCACTGACGTCATAATACATAACTGTTCGCTCCAGCGTATGTGCATCCGTTATTTGTGTCGCCACACATCCGTTGGCAAAGGTAATGAGACAGTTGCCTAGAGGCTACATCAAAACATCACCAGTGTACTTCCACTGCATTTAGACGCAATTCATACAGGCCGGAAACGAAGCACAGAGACACACAATAATTGTCAAATTATTGAGTTCAATTATTAACTCAAATATTAACAAATGCTGTTTTCCTTCTGTTCAGTACAGCATATCGACCATTTTATAGGAAGGCAGCTTCGACATATGAGGAAACGGTGCTGGCGATATTTGGTTACCCACTGTGTTTCAGAGTGGGGACAATACCACTTTAAATACATACATGGAGAGGAATTGTCAGGCGAATGCCAGCACAATCACCTACCTGTATGAATGATACATAGGGCATACCGCTGAACTACAAATATTTTATTAGTTGATATGCATCATGCGTTATCTTACATGTTATGATATTCCCGAGAAGAAATTCCCATCAAGGTAACAATAGCAAAGATCTAACCAAATACTAAGACTTAGCATTGGTCCCAAAATAGAAAAAGGCAGATATTTAAATATCCATAAAGCTAAACAGCATAAACAGCAGTGCACTCTTTACTTGAAGGTTATGTGGAACATGAATAACACCTTGATGGTTTGTGACCAGTATAGATTACTGCGTGAGATGTACGTACCCTCTAAATTTATTTGGTTGTATGCGAAGCATCCAAATAGAATTGTAACACAGGAAAATGCTGACAACAGAGACCGAGACTCCTCCCCCTTCAAAAGATAATGGAATGCTATCAGGTTATTAATGCAACCTGCGACTTTCAAGATCACTGTTATTTGTTGATCAAGGGACATTATTTAAAGACATAGCTCTTTTGCTGCAGTTACATATGATTGGATATTTGCATTTTAGCACAAATGAATTCAAATAATTTCAGCTTCCTATTTACAGTATTATGTGCCATGATATACGGCAAAGGCTCGTTAACCAGGATCCCGTCAGTACCAATCTCCCCGGTGTTACCCTTTGTAGGTATCAATGTACATGTATACAGGTATAGTTTGTTACGCAGAACTTATGTCACAGGAACAATACAGTAGGCGTGAACGTGATTCCTCTTCGAGAAAAGAAAATTAGTTTCTTCTTCTTTTGGTTCACTCATGCCTCAGAGACAGAACATGAAAATACTTATTTTGAATTCCTATTTACAAGCTATCATATTCTGTAGAAGAACCCCTAAAGCGAGCAATTATGGGTAATTCAGATATGCCTTTCCAAAGTAGTCGTTTTCTCTGATATAGGTATAGGGATACAGAGGAATACAGCGCTTCGGGCCAACACGCAGTAATGATTATATGCCAATCAAGATGTGCATGAAGAACTTCTGACCCTAACGTGGACAGACTAAACAAATGCTGGCAGGTTTTTTTATTGGAGTCCAACACAATGGAAGCACAGAGGGTGAGTGGGGGTTAGGGGGTGGGTGTGTGTGTGATAGAAAACATGAGATTTTTCAAATTATTCATGAAGGCATCTTGTGTGTATATGTGGAAGGGAGGTTATCTTTGAAGACACTCGCTCAGGTGCTTTAGTGTATTGGTGAAAACGGATCCCAGTGAGAATATCTGTCTTTTAAAATAGGATATTGTCTGCATCAATTAGTTCATGCTCTATGGGTTTCGTTGGAATTTCCGTATGGTAATTTGTAATTTTCGAAAGACGCGAGTAAAAGGATATTATGGTGTGGTTCTTTGAACCATATTCTGTGTTACTGGAGTCATAATCAATCCACCAAAATGCTTCAAATTAGTTCCTAGCATGTAGTTGATAGAACAACACTCATCAGCTTTGACAGTTAGACTATAAATATGTCAGCTTTGATTAATAGGTGCCTTGTTGTTTTATGTGTGTGACATTTCTGTCAAACTCCCTCTAAGTACCCTGACAAAAGCCTTTACTGACGGAGTGTCCATTGTCAGCAGCGACAATCAATTCTTATCAATAGTTTACGACTTGTTTCGGCTTTTCGTATAAGTAATGCGACATGACAAACGTTGAGGAAATATGAAGAACATTACCGAATGTATAATATAATCATATGTCGTTATTCACCGTTTTGACCTGAAAAGAAATGCAAGTTAATTTGTTTATGTTTGTGAAATGATCTTAAGCATACTTTGTGAATTAAAACAAAACAACAGCCATTTAAAATTCGACATTAAAAACGGATATTAAAGCTTCAATTATTCAAGCTCCACGTCTTTGCAGTGCTTCCAGTTCATCAGTGCTTGCAGTCTTAGAGCGACGGGAGGCCGATACTGCATCTTGTACAGTACCTGGGCTGGCGACGCCAACAATTGTTTTCTGCACAAGCGAATCAAGGTTGGATCCTTTTTAATGACGATGACGTGATGAACATCACGTCAACTGCTGTGCCTTCCTGGTGCAGAGGAGTATGCAGTATTATGTTCAGAGGCTTCTTTTATCGTCAGAGGACCGATCTACAGGTGTTCTATCCGTAGCAACTGTCATGTTCAGGGATGATGTTCTTTGTAATCACGTCGGTCCTCTTTTCCTGGGTGAACCTCGCTTCCAGGTCATTCAGCAGGACAACGCTCTTCCCCACACATCATCGGTCTCTGCGGACTTCATTATACTGAATGGCATTCCTGGCCGTCTATGGCGCCGACTGAGCATGTCAGGGACGAGATTAGGAGACGTGTTCCAGCTCAAGACAGCCTCTCACACTTCAGGCACTCGAATCCTGTTTGGCGCAAATGGAAAAAAAGTTCGTTTCAAAGACAAGTCGACTCAATGAAATGGTTATGAGTGGCTTTTGTCGCTGATGTCAAGAATAAATGTAATGGATAAGTGGTAATTTTTTAATACCTATGCATCTTACCTTCATCTTCACTTGTGCCTCCAGGCTCTATGGGATGGGAGTGTGGTGAAGGTGTCCTGGTCACTGATTGTCATGTTATCAAAACATTACTCAATGATCAAAGGGTCTTGAAATAACATCTAAATGTATTAATTAAGAAAACATTGCGAGAGTAATTTAACAGCTCAAAGTATTACATAAGAAAATATCTCAAAGTACAGGATAAAAAACATTTCAAAATATTAGATAAGTAACAATCTCAAAGAATCAATTAAGAAAGCATTTCAAAAACAATACTCATTGATATGAAAAAATAATGTATGTTCATTTTGACTTTTTCTATGGGTTTCAATGTAATCAAAAATACGCTATCGCGATCTTTCCTTACCTAAGCCAACACTTCATTGTCTGATCAATCATTTGATCGTCTAGTCAAGACGACTTTTACAGGCCGAAATTTGAAAGGGGAGAGCTTCAGTGTGATGTACGGATACCAACAAAGACGTACCTGTTTGTGCGCATTGTGTGAGTCAGCTTACTGACTGACTGACTGACTGAGTTTAGTTTTACGCCGCTTTTTAGCAATATTCCTGCAATATCACGGCGGGGAACACCAGAAATGGGCTTAACACATTGTGCCCATGTGGGGAATCGAACCCGGGTCTTCGGCGTGACGAGCCAACGCTTTAACCACTAGGCTACCCCACCGCCCCGAGTCAGCTTACACTCTTCGGGAACACCCGATGCCATCACTTATCAGTGATCATTACATATTTCTACGTCTCTTTACCGTTCACGCCATATGGAATGAGTTTCGGAAGCTCATCGTCACAGATTATTTTCTGGCGTTGACGTTGTTTCATCTGGAGTTTCTACAGAGGTTCAGTCATCCAGGTATCCTCAAAGAACTGCGAAACCTTGATAACAATGACTAATCTTGAACTCTTGAAGGGACATGAAACTATTCATAGTACATTTTCTGTGTATTTAACCTTTACCTATCCACATTCCTTACCACTGAGGCTCTGGGTCCCGTTGTACAAAACAACCTTTACTAAGGTTGAACTTAGTCACTAAGGTAAACCTTAAGGTAACCTTAACATAAAGTTACGCCCGTTGCACAAAGCTACCTTTGGTCAACCTTAACTCTGGAAGGATACTTAGCGGTAACCTTAGCTAAGGTTGAAATCTTTAGTGCCGGCGATACAAATATATCCGTAGTTACGGTTGTGAGTTATCTCCCCTGCTCGCATCAGCAGACGACTAGTGTTATCAATACTTCGACATGGCAGAGGCGTCTACTAGCAGTGCACGAAAACGGAACAGGTTGTCAAACTATACAATGCTGGCCGATGAGGTGAAGTGTCAAAGCCACATCTTGTTTGGATCATTTTCTTCATCTATTACCAACCAAACTAAACTGAAGGAGTGGGATGCAATAGCTGCAAAGTAAGTGTCTTCATTTTTTTATCTTAGCAGATAGCATTGAATGTTTTGTAAACGCACGCTTGTCTATGTATCATTTATGTTATGATACTAAGTCCACAATCCCCCCTGAGCATTCTATTTGTATTTCTGCTGAAAAGATTTAATTTTGATATTTTTTTATACACTGCAGGTTTGCTGAGACATACTTCTTGGAAATTAAAAGTGATAGACAAATTAAATGTAATGTTCATTGGATATATGAAATATATCATATTATTGTCACTCTGTTCCAGGATAAGGGCATGCTCTTCAGTGGAAAGAACAGGGGCACAACTAAGAAAAAAATGGAATGATTATAAGTAAGTGTCAGAAAGTGTGTGTGTGTGTGTGTGTGTGTGTGTGTGTGTGTGTGTGTGTGTGTGTGTGTGTGTGTGTGTGTGTGTGTGTGTGTGCTTACATGTGCATGCCATTGTAGGTTGTGGTCAATTAAGTTCTGTTGTTTTGATGTATAATAACATTATTTAAGCAAAGAGGACAAACAATTACTAGTATTTGAAAACATAACAATAAGCTTTTTATTTACAATGTGATTTGGATATGTCAGGAAATAACTAATTTTCACATGATTAACTTACAGATCTCAGGTGAAAAGAAAAGCCATGAATGTCAGAAAAGAATCATCCAAAACCGGAGGTGGTCCAGCTCTCGTACTTCTGACTGATCTGGAATTTAAAGTAATAATTAAGTTTTAATTTCATTTTGACAATGTTAATTCAGGGAAACCAGGATGTAAAGGTTATGATAAAAGTGTTCTCTCATAACAACCACCACCCCTCCCTGCAGGGTTACAACATCATATCCACATCTGTTGATTTATTTCTTCCAAGTACACACATATTGAAATATAAATATTTCTGTTTTTAGGTTGTATCACTGATTCCACAGTGCCAAATTGAAGGGATAACTGGTGGATTGGAGTCTGAGGTTGATGAAAGTGAGTTTTTTCTCAATCAATGTCAGAATATGTTCCAAATCGTTAAAACAATCTTTAAGCTGATTGAATATTTTTAAATCATTTCCTCTGTTGCATTGTGTGTATTTTCAATAATTATTACTGATAGTCATATGATTATTAGCTTGGTCTGGAATTACATAGATGATTGGGTAATAAATAACATAAATCTCTCAGTTTTTCAAACACTGAACATGGTCAGTGAGAGTGGCCTTCCCACAGAAGAGTACTTTGATTCTGCCTTCACCCGCGATGAGAGGAAAAGCAACGAAACACCTGGTATGCTTAATTAATATTTTTAAAAGCATGTTTAAATGTTAAATTTGTCATCAAGTCAGTTAGTCACAGCTTAACAATCTCATATATATGTACTTACAATGTGTATTGACAGAACTTTAAGTCCTTTAATTCCTTGCAGGTCTTATATCAATGTATGGAACCATCAATGGTGATGAGGCTACCTCTATGGCTGAACCTGTGGAAACAGCAGATCAGCCAAGTCATAATTCAGCCTCAAATGGTAAAAAATGATACATAACCAATTAGAGTGTTGTTTAAATTCTACTGTTTCTGTAGGATATTAATGTGCTGTTACATTAGTCGTTTAATAGTTATATTAGGCATTTAACATTTATTTAAAACAGATGTATTTTCTGGCCTGTTACAGATAAGGACCTAAAGTTGAACAGGTGCAGGCAAAGAAAATCTGGTATGAAATTGTTAAATATGTTGCATGAAATGTTATTTAATCATGCCAAAAACTATTTTTTGCTATCCATATCATCATGGAATATGAATTCTCAATAATATCAAAAATAAATACAATGTGTTTACAAATACGTTATAAGGCTTCTACAATTGATTTCTTTTTCATATTTTTTTACCGGAATGAAATGTAGCATGTTGATCAATGAGCAAATAACATGGAAGTGCTGGTAATGTAATATAAATTGAATTTTATAACATTTATTGCAGAAAACCCAACGCACCAGCCTGAATATGTTGCCTCCATCATGGAAATGGGGACAACAAAAGCGGATGCCCTCAAAGAGCTGATTGAGGTGCAAAAGAAGATGTTAAAAATATCGAAAAGACCATCTCACTTTAGAGCGAGAAAGACTTGATCTAGAGAAATCAAAATTTCAACTGCTACAACATATGCTGATTAATCCAGGCAACAAATCTCCCAATACTCTTTCCCCAGTTATCCAATTTATGTATTCTTCCTAACCATGATAACATCCCAGTATCTCACCTGTGTTTAAAAGTAAAATATTCATAAATTTTGTTGTTATCTATTTTGATATCTGCAAATACATATTCATCTATGTCACTGTAATAAACATAAATACATGTATTTAATCAACTTATGACTACTGTATTGTTTGCTTACAGTCTATGTAAATCTCTCTGCAATCAGCTTCCTCCTTGTTGAACATCCATCCTGGCTAGAGGCAGGACAGTTTTCCCCAGTAGCATGATCAACTTCCATGTCAGAGTCCTCTGGCGGTGGTGCAATATTTTTGTCTATGCAGAAGTTGTGCAGCTTGAAAGCAGCCATGATTACAGCCATACATCTTTGTGGACTGAACCATAAACATCCAGTAGACTTATGGAGACATCTGAAAAAGTCAGATAAACATTACTGTAGTTACAGTAAGAAATTAAAGTTGCGAGCAACATTGAGGGCTCCTTGGCTTGGATAATTTCTTGCCATTTGGTACCTGTCATGCAGATGTCGAAAACAGTAAAGGCTATAGCTGATATGGATCATATCACTGACAGTAATGAGACATACTTCAGTAGTAAACTTTGAATTCTTATGTTTGAGGGTTAGAAACAAAGGATTGTGTTGTATGGTATGGGTAATTGCACTTATGGCTTTGGAAACAGCTGTTGGCTTGATTAGAGATTCGAAGAAAAAAGAATAATGCACGTTCAGATGCTAAAAAATTATTTCTTTTTACTGAAAATGTGGTTGTTTACATACAGCTTGAATATTGCTGAGTGTGGCGTAAAACAAAACTCACTCACTCACTAACACGCTCACGCAAGAGAACTTGTGATTTCACAGCAATTAAGGTACTTCAGTAGTTTGTATTAGTATCCATTACACTGTTACACTCGGGCCGCTGCAAATGAATAGTGAATCGAGGGCAGGTATATATACTGGAAATACACCTAACAGCTCGATAAAGGTCACATATATGAAGTTTTAAAATCCATGCAAACTCCACAAGACAGAATTGATTGGCAAAAGCGCATTACTCCTCAGGAATTGCAAAGCCGGCGAGTAATGGGTGTGGAAATATTTTACTAGCGCTTCCTTCAGCTAGACCAGAGTTAGCCCCCTTAGACCACAGCTACAACTTTTACCATGACCCGGAACGCTCATTCATTGACAATCTTTAAAAGCTGCCTAAAGACATACCCCTTACAAAAGACTGAATTTCAATGAAGATTTAACACATCTACTGCACTGTATTTTAATTTTGTGTAACGCTCTGGGTTTTTGGCACATAACACCTGTGCCATTCGACGGAAAGAATCACATGTTTATGCTCTGATCATGAACAGAAAATGATCAGCAAACGTTTGAGATACATACTGCAAATTTTCATTGTGCTCTCTAGAGAACCAATAAAGATAGCAACTATACAGAGAGGAAAATAGAATTTCACTTGTCCCTCTGTTGTCTTTGAAAATACACTTAGACAAATTATTTGTTACTTCAGTATCGTTTAGCTTGTGTTTAACCCGCTCACGCTGGACAGCTCTCGTCATTGTCAATTAAAATTGACATCGTCTCCCATATCAGCACGTGGACCACGCTTTGCAGTGGTAGTCTCTTTATAGGGGATATCGTCCTTGCGCTTTCCTTCAGTCTGTCGCATGTTTTGCACGGGTAATCTGCCGTGTCGTAAATGTCGATGAACCTTATGACACATTCGGCAATGTATCCCTGGGCTATCGGTGATATAGAGAAGTCCCTATTTCATTAAGCTGTCCAAACTTTAGGGTTTTGAGTGTAAGTATCATTTATGATGACTGGTACGATGTTAATAGTCTGTTTTAGTGATTTCTGGTGTGGTGTGCCTCGAGTTTTCGGTCAGTTTGCTTGGCACTCTTTTTCTTTCATTTGGGGCTCGTCTCAAACAGTATTTTTTTTCTTTTACCTCCCATACGTTGTATTCACACGGATAATGTTGAACGCCGTAGCGCTTGCAGTGACTTTTGACATAGGACCAAGAACAGAAAATGTTCAGCACATGAAGTTACTGCATGCTGCCAGATTCTAGCTGCATAGCTGAAATAGTAATGACGCTGTGATTGTTTTTGTAAATCCATGTGTGTAAGATTCAATCCAATATGGCCGCCAAACGACGCAATTTTTGATAAGCACCTAAGAACACAAAATGTTAAACATTGTACGCTTATGCATTGTACCAATTTTCATGTCTTTTTGTGCAGAATCGGAGCAGCTAAGCTGTTTCTAGAGTAGTGTCACCAGAATGGGCCGAAATCCAATATGGCCGCCAAACGATTCACATTTTAACATGCACCAAAGAACAAAAACTGTTCAGCGCATCAAGTTTTTGCATGCTGCCAGATTCTAGCTGCGTAGTTGAAATAGTAATGACGCTGCGATTCTTTAAAGATACAGTTTAGTAAAAAATAAACAACAAAACCAAAAATCTAGATATCCGTAACTAATCAAGATATCGCAACGTAGCTCGAGGATGTTCATATTTGAGGTATATACTCTATATGTGCAAATGTGCAAAGTTCTTGACATCATACATTCAGAGTTATGGATTGCGGAAATGCCTACCCGTCAAAAACGTGAAATTTCCTTAAATCCAATATGGCGGCCAAACGGTGCCTCGGAGCCCCATGGATCCTGCAGTTGAAATTGAAGGTAATCGGATTCCAGACCTGCTCCAGAAATTTGGTAGTCATCGGACTTGTAGTTTCGGAGATTATTGCTTTGGAAATTGAAAATTTTGAATTAATTTTGAATTATCCCCCCTTTGCTGTTGGGCCTAGAGCCTTGAGATTTTTGCAGAAACAACTTCAGTACTGTTGGCACCATGGTGATGTTTTTCAAGCGATTCTGTCCAGCGATGCTATTTGTAGGACTGGTACAAAATACGGCGGAATAATAAATAATAAAAACATTAACGATTCCAATAGGTCTCCTGCCTTGTGGCAAGGAGCCCTAATTATGCCTTAAATATTATGTTTGTACAATTTAAGTTATGTTCAATTTCAACTGAATTTTCCATAAACAATTAAATGATATTCTTTATCAGGTGAAACATTAATGTTCTTCACTGGTTGTATTATTCTATAAATTAACACACAAATATAAATGTAATATTCACATGTACATTATGAATATTACAGCTCAAAAGATAAGAGAACTATCCTGGTGCACTAATATAATGGAATATATAACAAAAAGGAGGAAATCAAGAAGTCTTTAGGTTATTCTTAATCCAAAGAGTAATACTATATATCTATATTTTGTCATATCACCATTCATACACAAATGGAACCATGAATATAGTACCTGAATTTTGACTTTAACACTCCAAATGCCCTTTCAACTGTGTTCCTTGTCCTGATATGGGCTGCATTGTACCTCTGTTCTGGCTTTGTCTGAGGATCTGCTAAGGGGGTCAGCATCCAAGGTCTGCATGCATATCTGTACAATGAGTATGAGGTACATAACATTAATTTTGTATATATGTTTGGTATATATGTTTACTGCACTTCAAACGTATAACTACCACAACATATACTGTTAAATAACTATGGCTAAATGGTTTACCCTGAATCACCAAGTAGCCAGCCATCAGGTGCAGTTTCTTCCATCTTCATGCCAACTTGACTGTTAGTCCATATCAGGGAGTCATGAGTTGAACCAGGCCACTTGGCCACCACGTTGGTAAAACTGAAATGGTGAACATTTTCCACGTTAATCTGATGACAGTGTATTTATTTCCAAGTTATTACTTTCACGCCGATATTCCTGCAACTTCTTCGTAACTTGCTGACCTGTCAAATCAGTAAAATCAACACCGTGCACAGAATAATTAGGAGCAAAATGTTTGTTTTTTTACTTAAAGGTCACATGCAACCAAAAAATCAAACATAATTAAAACACAATTATCACTTATTCATGACATATAATATACATTGCTGGTTATGAAAAAACATATAAACAAAATTATAAGCGTACAATCGCAAATCAAAAGTGCAATATTGTGTACTTGGGTTTACTTCCCAAGAAACGAAGCAGCTGGGATACCGAACCAAGTCAGAGCGGGTGGGTGTGCACTCAAATGTAACGGCTGGTTCATTAGCAGATGCCCTCACGGTTCATTGTGTGTGTATATATAGAGATGTTGGGTTTTGTAAATACATGCTCATTTTTTGTGTATAACATTTTGCAATCAACAGACATCATAACATGTCATGTGTTCAAGTATCACACCTGCCATTACATAATGTGACAGAGACCGAGCTCGGGCCATAAATCAATGCATTTTGTTTATGGTGTATAGCCTGATTGGTGTTAAGTTCAAATTGCATGTGGTCAGTGATCGCAGTTGTGTATTGAATATTGTCATTAGCAGACAGGCAGGCAGACACACAGGTGTCAATAAAACAAGACATTGAGTTTTGTCTGTGACAACGACATATCTATATCACAGTTAGAAATTCTGTCAACGCTAAATGATGACATTGCTTTAAGTAACGAACTGAGAAAGTGACTCGGTAAGAAGAACGTGTGGTGAAATAGACAAATGAAATTATATAAACAGTTTATTTACTGTCATAACATATAAAAAGCTCGCGCCTGTGAGATATCAACAAAACATTAGAAAAATAGCTCACACCAAAGACTTCACCGAGTATTTACCGGACAGCCCGCTTCCAAGTTGCGCGAACCTATTTCACTGCGCACGTGCTATGAGCGCAGCCCAGCTATTGAAACCAGTTTTCCCCTAAAAGTCGGGGGAAAATTAGTGAATCGTTTGAACTCCGATTTCGCGCGGTTTTTTTCATCGCGTTATTTTCAACTTTATAAGTTGAATTTGCATTTGTGATGATTTGTTTCTGTAAGTCAATACCGAAAGGTATCAGAATCTGCAAAGTTGTGTTTTACGTTGCATGTGACCTTTAAACTAAATGAATTCTGGCACTATTCAGAAAATAATCCTGAAACGATTGCTGTATAAATGGGTACAATAAATTACAAATTTAAAACAGACTGAAAATGCCGCTCGTTTCATTTGACAAGAAAGTAGTTTCGGCTCGTTTGTGGGTCAAGGCCGTTGCTAATGTAAACAGAGATGCGTAGTTTGCGGACCACTAACCAGTTCATCATTTTTCTTTCAGCATTAAGAGATAGTAATCGGTAGATATCGAAAACAAGTGTAACTAAAGTATCTTTATGGTAAATTTAGACGTAAATGTATATCTAGTTTATATCTTACCGGAGAGAACTGTCGCATATCGCTGGCACATTAATTGCATGGTATCCCTTGCGGCATACGAAGGCGGCTTCCTCGTTTGGTGAAGGTCGTTTGATCGGAATAAGTGTTCCGTCCACAGCACCGAGAACTTTAGGGAAATGACCGACTCGGTAGAAATCTTGTTTAACTTTAGTTTGCTGTTCTAGACTCCAGGGAAAAGTAATATTGTCTAACACCGTACATATTGCATTCACCATGCAATGAAAGCTTCGAGAAACACTGGATTTGTCCAGACCATGCAAATCTCCAATTTCAGAAAGAAATCCTCCTTTTCCCAGATATCTCAAAGTTAAGAGGACTTGTGATTCGACTGACATAGCGTGGGAACGCTGTGTCGGTCTTTCGACCATTGGGCGAACTTTGTCCACAAGGCAGAAAATAGCTTCGCGTGGGAGTCTATACCGGGATATGAGTTCCAAGTCAGTCAGAGTTTCTAGTTGGATGCTTCTGTCTCGGAAAACACGCTGTTTTCTCAAACTTTTTCCAGTTTCATCATGCATCAACAAGAATATAGCCATATTGAATTTATTCGAAATAATGTCAGCATTAGCCACACTAAGGTTGGGTCGGACTAACCTTAAATTTTCACCTTAACTAAGGCTACCTTAGCGTAAGGTAGATTCGTACAACGGGACGTCAACCTTAACAAAGGCCTAAGGTTAAAACTTAAGGAGATAAGGTGACCTTAGAGCTAAGGTTGTTTTGTACAACGGGACCCTGGTCTCTGTTGGAATTGGTCAAAGTATTAAACGTACTCAGTCTGAGAAGCTAAAATTACACGTCGATAATCAGTGGGAGACCGCTATGGGATTACCTTTACGATGTCTGTGGCAAGTATATATGTCCGTGCGTCTGTAGAACGTTCGTAGATTAAGTGTATGGAATTGTGTGAGAGAAGTGGGAAGGAGTACACAGGAGATCAGCAGTGTTTATGTGAAAAAAACCCCAAAACAATGGAATTGCCCATTTTGTACCGAGACGCCCATCAGGAACAGCAAATGATAATCACAAGGTCATTTACTTATTACTAGGTGGGCTGACAGGATGCTACTATTGCACTGCATTCCGTCAATCAAATCATATTCTGTAGGAAATGATTACGTGAAGATCCGGGTTAGGATTGGTCTTCAGCAACCCATGCTTTTTCTTTAACTGACGACTAATGGGAGTGCGTGGTCCCGCTGGTCCAGACTCGATGATTTACAGACCGCCGCCATATAGCTGGGATATTGTTGAGCACACAATGAACACCCATGCCTGCTCTGCGGACAATGTAGGGGTCACGGGTATCACAGTTGTCTGTCACAGAATTGCGTCCCTAGGAATGCCAGGAATTTATCATCGTGTTGTATAATCCAGGGGCATGTTTTCATGTTCGTCAGCACCACACCCGCGCTCGTGTGTTTCACCGAAGTGCTAAACGTCTCAGACCGGCACCACTACGGGCTTTGTCTCCCACATCAAAACTGTCGATAATTGCCATGCTGTGCTACGCAATTTTCCCGAAGTCTGGACCATCACAAGCGAGTGGTTGTTACTCAATATTCTTTTGAAGAAGGAAGTAACACGAGTTTGTGTATTAGCTAGAAGGATTACAGTGGAAACATGACTCGTATTAAAATGTCAGCGACCCACGGCGCTTCATCGAAGCTAAAACTAATGCTAATACGACAACTTTAATGTCACTTATCTGTCATCTTCAAAACATGTTGTTGAAATATAAGACAGGGATTACACCCGAACCTGCTTTCATTACTGTCTCTCCTACCTAATTTTCAATTAAGGATCAAGTCAAGTCTTATTACAGTCCGCCAGTTTGGTAAGGAATATGTCTAAAGTACTATAAGTCGCCCGCTCTTAAGCCAATTACGAAGCCAGCCAGTATTAAGACCGTCAATAAGTAAGTACATATGTTTGTCTGATAATGACGTCAGTATTTTCCTGGGAGAAAATGAAGCCAAACTCAAATTTTGTTATGGCATTGAAAGTCTTACCATCAGTGACTACAGTGGTCATTCTATACATCATGACCATGGATTACTCTTTATAGTGGGCGTTGTGGAGGCACTCAACTTGATTCATTTATGTCATATTACGTAGGTAGCTACAGTTATATACATGTTCTGATATATCTTATGTGACAGTTAATTAAGAATTGTGACAAGGTGGTCAGTAATATGTGCGTCTTTAATATCTGAACACGTCATCAACACTGTTCAAGAGATCTAAAATAATTTGCAACAGTGTTCTGTCATTACCGTCAATCAAGATGGCAGAGACACATCAAATATCCGCCAGTGAAATAGTTTCTGCAAACTCGTCAAGAAATTGAATATTATTCCCTGGGACGTAATATGTCCGGATGAGGACAACCATCTCTCATACCGCGGGTCTCAAACATATTCAGACCAATTTGTCTGCATCACAACACCTACAAAGTTGTCTGAAGGTGAATTTTGTACCCCGGACCAGCACTTGTGTGAAGTTCAAATTTCTGCAAAGATTTCCAGCCTTGGCCTATTTAGGAAACTTGATTACTGTAGAAGCTCAGTGATTGTTTACAGCACTTTACAGCTTTAATCACTGCTTTTATTAAATATTGTCAGAGCATTTGTACTGACGTGGAATATGTACTGCAACTCTATTTTGTGCTAGGAGAATTCCTTTGTAGTGATTTGTAAACTTACAGACTGTGAGAATGCAACTGTTATGTGTTCAGCATTTTGTTCACGTATGTTTGTCGGATTAACGTTTTGTTGTCTTCTGCCGTTAGCGGTGGACACGAAATTGTGATTTTTATAACAGAAAACACCAAAGACACACAATTTTCCACAACACAGAACTTCTGCTATGTTCACATGAATAAGATCAACCCTTAATGTAAATCCTAAGTATTGTCACATCATGGGATTATGGAATCACCCCCATATGACATAAGCACAGTTTTGCTTAGAACAATTCAACGTCAAAGTACAGGTAATGACAAAGCTGTACTTTATTACAGATGACGCCTGGGAAGAACAATCTTTACTTCTTAAGTCAGGTTTGTCGAAGGCCAAAAATGACGCACTTAACAGAAAATTACGACTCATGTAAAACTTGGTCACAATTCGGAACCCGAACTACCATTCAGCTGATGCGAGAGGGTTTCGGGGACACAAATCTTGTCAGTTAGAAAACTCCTCCACCCGCTTACCACTTTCATCAATAGACCTTGGTGGTCCTTTCATTTGAAAACGTCAAGTGTGTCTAACAAGGAGGTACATGACACCTACTTAGAATGAAGATGTTGCACCTGTGAAACCGATTCTTTGCACATCCATTATATGTGCCAGTTGAACATACAGATAGAAGATTACATTAATGCATTATATGCCACGTATTCCCAATCGCACCCGCATAATTCATAATTTCTCATAGAACAGATATGCAAAATGATGCAAAGAGCATTATTGTATTCTTGCAACCTTGCTGTTTAGAATGTAACTTAATATGGAACTCCCTAAATTAAATAGTTCCATAATCCAAGGGTGAATAATTATTCACATATTAACGTTTCATCATGGTAAACACAGGATTTAAAATTTTCATTGAACTCCAATGCTTCTAATTGTACGTTCCTCTTAGTCTGCACTTTTCTTGAGGTTGGAGATGTCTTTTTAATTTTCCCCGAGTTACACAATACATCCGTCCCTTGGGAAATTAGAAATACGAAAATAAAATACGATGTCTTTTAGGGCTCAACATATTAGAGTTATTGAAATCCTGTCCTGGGGTCCGCTTAGCAGTCACACAACGATATGCCGTTTTGGCCGTTAAAGCCTTCCTGATCAATATCAAATACAAATAATCCACCTACCGCTGAAAAGAAGTATTTTCTTTCTGAATTCGACCCCCTTAATGTGTACTCCATGAGAAAGATCTCTTTTACTGACTAAACTAAATACGGCATGTGAACGTTTAATTCACAGGCAGCTAAAAACATCATCCTATTTCAGAAACATTATTTATGTACATAAAAGCGTTATGTAAGATCTGTGATTGTGTGTTAAAACAGGGTCAGAAATTCATATGTGAGCCTCCTCTTGTAAATGACGCATTTTGTTTGATTATGAGGGGCGGTGGGGTAGCCTGGTGGTTAAAGCGTTGGCTCGTCACGCCGAAGACCCGGGTTCGAATCCCCACATGGGTACAATGTGTGAAGCCCATTTCTGGTGTCCCCCACCGTGATGTTGCTGGAATATTGCTAAAAGCGGCGTAAAACCAAAACTGAGTCAGTCAGTCAGTCAGTCAGTCAGTCAGTTTGATTATGTCATTATATATCATTTGGAATTTCCCGAACACCTGAACCCAGTGACTTCAAAATATTCTGATCCCCTAACAGAAAGAAATATCGCTGAAACAATCCCCTGTGATCTCAAAATAAGAAAAAATGTTCTGGTTTCCGATCATATGACATTTCTCCTTCAGAACAGAATAGTTTACATAAGAAACCTTAAAAACATTTACTGTCAAAACTGTGAAACCATTGTAGGTCTGATAAATGTCTCATACATTATTTTCGAATGAATCCCAGAACAGGACTTAACTGTACGTTTCTAGAAGAGTATGAATGAATTCTTCATGGCAATATGTGACCTTGTTAAAGTCATCAAAGAAAAATGTCCCTGGAACTACTTCCAATAATTCTGTTTACTCACTAGTCACACCTGCATCCTCCTTCCTGAGGAAGAAATCATGTCGTTAACATGATCATGATTTAGAATCTCAAATCAGGAGTATGTTTCGACGCAGATATGCATCTCAATGCTTACGATGAAATACGAGGGAAAATATTTGAAAAGTAATTTGTTCACAAATGTAATTTAGATTGAGGAATTCAAGATCACGTCTGGTTCTTCAATTTCGATTCATGATACCATAACTAAATTGGTTGGAAATTTCCCGAGGTTTTGCATTTATTGCATAATTATGTAAGCACTCGTGTGACCGTGATAAGAAACAAATTCCAGGTTTGTTCAATCTGACACTTTTTGTAACAAATGTTATATTTGGGATTACACTTTCTTAGCAAACTACAGATTCTAGTACTTTTGTTGGTTTGAGTCCCATCCGGGATTCGAACCCACACTCTCAGAGTCAGGTACCTAATCGCCAGCACACTTATTGTGGTGATTACCAATTTGATGAAAACACATGCGCACGATTATTGTGTTCACAGAACGAGGTTCATAATGAGCCTAATCTTCGTTTGAATCACGTCACTGAATCCTTGCAGACATTAAGCACACAGCATGCAGCGACACGATCTTCTTAAATCACTGTACAACGATGATGCTCATACTTCAACCTGGAGCAAATCACGTATGTGTTATTGTAAATCGAATTCCCAATCAACAGAAATAAAAGACATACCAACGATCATTTTGGAATTACTATATGTGTGTAATTCCTGTTCTGTAATAAAGCCGTGTTATGGCTTATATTGATTTAATAACT